GCAGCTTTCACCCAAGGTCGTAGGCTTCCACCGGCTAAACCGGGTGAGGTTGGTGCTCTGTAAAGCGCATGCGCAAATCTGGCTTTTCGTAATCTGAAAATACAGGAGATTCCACTCCGCCACTAATACTCTAATATACAATAGCAATTTTTTTTCCACGTGTAGTATAGAAATTTGTAATAAGATACATAATGCGGTTATAATAAAATATTGTGCGATTATTTTCATATAATTAAAATTAATATTTATTTATTTTTTAGAGAATACGAGGGAAGCAGCGCTTTCAACGCTTCTAATGATGGCACGCTACTGGAGGGCAAAGGAAACCTATTGAAACAGAGGTAATTATATTGAACTTGTTTATTTATTAAGTACGTCGGATAAATAATTTATTAAAAATACATTTAAAGAAAGAATTAACTGATTCCCCCTGGAAGTCGGCTTCTTAGAGAAACACAGCTTCCCTATCATCAAATGTCACGGCACGCCCCTGGTATTAATTCTTGAAAAGGCAACTTAGGAGGACGACTTCTGAGGACCACACTTGAATTCTTGGATTCCTTCTGGGTTTTTCCATGAGGTCAGGAGGTTGCTGTTAAGGACCTAGCGTCCAATACTGGAATTTTATCGAACGTTCCGGGTGACGCATTAATGACTACCGTGTTTCCCCGAAAATAAGACAAGTGTCTTATATTAATTTTTGCTCTGAAAGATGCGCTAGGTGTTATTTTCAGGGGATGTCTTATTTTTCCAAGAAGAAGAATTCACATTTATTATTGAACAAAAAAATTCCCAAGTCGAACTTATACGAGAGTGTCGTATATCCGGTTGTGTCGAACTGAACTTAGAAAGTTCCTGTGCTGGAGTGGACTTCCCACTCTTTAGTCTATTCTCTCCCTCTTGTTCATATGGAGATAACAGCCTTAGTGTGCTTTTTCTCCGAAGAGCACTTTTCACTCTCTTCTTCTTCTTCTTTCCTTCTCTGATATGGAGATTCTAGCTGACTTTTCACTCTCGCTTCAACTTAACGTTTTTATAGCGTCGACATCGGGCTCGATGACCAATTAGTGCTTATTGAACCGTAGCATTATGCAAATGTGAGGTGGTGTGATTCCCGGCCGACCAATTAGCCATCACCAGCCGTAACGCTATGCAAATCTGTGATAACCAAGCCATAGTTTTATGCAAATCTGTGATACCCAAGCCATAGTTTTATGCAAATCTGTGATACCCAAGCCATAGTTTTATGCAAATCATGCAGTGTTGGGTTTTTGAAAGTACAGCCAATGACCAATCAGTGGCTGTACTTTCAAAAAGCCAACGGCCACTTTCAACCATCTGTCGATGACCGTTACGAATAAAAAAAAAAAAAACTTTGCTAGGTCTTACTTTCGGGGAGAGGTCTTATATTTAGAAATTCAGCAAAACCTATCCCTGGTCTTATTTTCAGAGGATGTCTTATTTTCGGGGAAACACGATAGATGGATCCTCCTCATCAAGGAATCAAATCCGTGGAAAATAATTTTTATGGATTTTAGCCTAACTTGATAAAACGATCGAAGTTAGACGATGGAATTCCAAAATAATTAAAATTTAAAATAACACTTTATTGAGGGTCTGTTCGTCCCTCACGCAGATGTCACATTCCCACGATTTTGATGACAATGTTTCGTCAGAATCTCCTTTTGACTGGAAAAACATATTCATTATTAAAACATT